AGATTGTTACAAGAGAAAAAGATACCCTTGAAGAAGATCCCAAAAAAATACCCTAGAGGGCTGTTACGACCCAGAATGCTAAAGGGGCCAAGGCGAAGCCCAAGAGAGTTATTAAGCGTCCAACATATTTGGACCAGTATCAATGTGATTTCTAAAGTCAGTTAATACTAATAGATATGGACCATTAATATGTTATTTCATTTTAAGTACTATCGTAATTAGCCTACACTTGCATGCATAGGATGTTATCCTTAAGGGGGCATTTAGTTCACGAGTTATGTGAAGTTCCCTAGTCCTATATATTTGGTATTGTGAGTTGTCTTCGTTTGGTAGAAGAGAACAAAAAATATAGCCATGAAACTTGGTTGCCTAGCCATTGACAAATGCATGCAAAAACGGGCTAAGTCATTATCCATATAGGGGTGCAGTATAAAGCCAAGTTAATTAGTGATCCTTTCGATTTGAATATTTGTAAACTGATTAGTGTGGTAACAGTGTAGACCTAACCCATAGGCCCATGATGGGAAGGGGACTAGGGTTAATAAATTTGGCTAGGTCCCTCTGCATTCATAGTATGTTGAGAAAATCGTTACTCCACAACTTGCTCTATCGATGGTTGTGATCAGGAAGTGGTGTGAATTGCAAAGGAAAATCCTAGTCTTTTCATTGCAGGAACAAAAAGTCTTCAAGAAATCAAGAATCATGTCTTCAACAAGTAAGCTTAGATCTTTTGGTGTTCTAAAATCATATAATCCATTTTATGAAATTTCTTACATTTGGTATCACAACCTAGATTATATGAATTAGGACCCAATTGTTTGATATTGGATATGATTATATGTTTGGGATTAAATTTTGTGCCTTTTTATTCTTGAATGAGACGATTAGTATTTTTTTTTAACAACTCAGAATCTGATTTCATACTATTTGTATTCGGTTTGATTTCCTAAATCAATTGACTTTTTCATTTTGATTGAAATTTGTATTTAGTATTAACTCTAATACCCTATCGTCAATTCCCCATTTTTTTCTCTTGACCTTACTGCCTGCCGTTTTTTAGTTTCGGCTTTCAAATCATTAGGCACGGCAACATAGTTTTAACTTATAAAGCACAAGAATGCACGAATCCATGATATTTTCTGATTTGTTTATACTGATTTGTCTTTACATCCTAACCGCTGGACAACAATGGACTCTTATGCACAGGGGGACATAATAAAATATATAATCTTACTTTATGTATGATAGCGAAGCTGTTATTTTACTGCCTTAATATTTTCATCATTTTGTGTGAAATATATTCTGTGCTAATACTTATTTTTTAAAAAAATGGTATTTAGTACATACTTTTCTTCGTAATTTTTTTAATATATTTTATGATATATATTTATTCATGTAGTATAATGTCATTTTATGAGATTAATTATGCGTTGTCAATTTACATATATATGAGTCAAATAAAAAAAAAGTTATTATATTATATCTGTTGGCACCTTGTTGATATAATATTATGAAGAATTATTTACTATTCCTCCTTGAGAAAATTTTTTATAGGAACCTTTTTTATTTATATTGGGAGCTGAGCTAGTTAATTAGATATATACATCAAAATTTAGAAATTTATTGAATAATGCATATGATATTTATGTGTTTATATTTAGACAGGTTTTCTTAATGAGTTTGCTTATTCTTATGATTACATTCAAGATTGAATTATTAACGGCTCTTTCTATTATTGACTAAATCCCAATCCCTTGGTAATCTAATCATTTATTCTAATCCAAAGCTCAATCCCTTAGTGCTTTTTCATAAGATAAGCATTAACGCAAGAACTCACAGTTATAAAATCCACAAGTTTATCCCTAGACATGCAAATTCCAGCAATCAACCAATCAGACTCATATACCAACATCCCTATTATCATATATGACTCGCATGTTTATTTACGAGAGATCAAGTGATAAATAAACTAAACACAAATATCAGGTTGATTGCATAATTCAAAAGCAAGAATGTAATTCATAAGAGATAAACAACATCAACTAAGAACCCATTGGTTCTGTATCTTCCTAACTACTAAAAGTAAATTAGCTACGCATAGTGATAAAAACAGAATTTAAAGCTACTGTAAAAGTAATGAAGTTCATGATAAAACTTGTCTAATGGTGATGATCAATGGTGCAGAGTTGACTCCTTCCTTTTCCTCTGCCACGATCCAGTGCTACTCTTCCGCTCCTTCCTGCGCTTCGTCTCTGAGTGCCTTCTTTTTTCGCGTTCCAGAATTCCCTTTTCACGGCTTCCTTCGCTTCGTATTTAAAGAGAAAATGTGGGATTCTGAATTTTGGACCTGCTCGCTAAAGCGAGCATTATTTTTGCTGGTCGCTCCATCGGTCGCTTGTGCGAAGACTTTAGCGAGCTGCTCGCCCACTTGCTCGCTTTAGCGAGCGTTACACTTTTAATTTTATTTATTATTTAATTTCTGATTTTCCCATTGCTCCGCGGATTTCACTGTTGTCTTGTCCTTATCATATTGGCACTTTGTTATTCTAGTTTCAACAACCTGAAACAACAATAAATATTCAGAATCTTCTATTTGTTGACAATTCATTTTGCTTTACTGTTAACACTATATTTTTAACTATTTTAAAAATTATTTGAATTCTTTTTAACCATAAAAACATAGTGTTTTGCACACTCATCACATGACAAGGTGATTAAGTGTTCCATCAAGTGGATGCATTACCATCGAAATAGAAACAACATATGCTCCTGCTAAGCAAATTACTGAGATGCACATGACTATTATGAGCAACCACATAAGTAACCTGTTACGGAGGGGAATTCCACAAAGCAGAAGTAGGATTACGGTCTGAGAAGCCGAGAAAGATATGGTACATAACAATATGAAAATCTCATATTTTAACTTTTGGTTGCTATCACCACCAAAGGCTAAAACAGAAGTACCAGCTTTGCATATGTGACCAGGACCACAACCTTGTTGGGTGTCTGTGTCTGATTGCCAAACACCCCCCGGTGGGTTTATGGCAATTTGGAAAGTCAAGGTTGCAATAACTGTGGCTACCACCATAAGGGAACCTCTCATCTCTTCCATCCAATGTATTGGTTCTTTTTCTCTATGATTCGCCGCACATGTTGGTAGTGACCTTCCCTCCATTTTTTCCCTTAGTCTTCTTCTCTGTTAGGATGAAAAATGAGAATTTATTCTAATTGGAATAGCTAAGGCTATGCATTTTCTCTGATCCTTCGTTAACGTTATACAATAGAAATGAAGGACATGAATATGACCGCATTCATAAGAATATGATCAAAATTTCCCTTAGGCTGCTAACATATACTAAAGGAAGGAAATATAATTAAGCTAAGTGTAGTTGCATAAATCTTGTGATTTTAAGCGCTCGTGTGCCTTCCTCTTCTTTTTTCTGATTTCTGATTCTTAATCACAATATTGAGCATGCCTTGTGTGCCTTCCTCTACTTTTTCTTTTGCTTTGGTGGTTGAAGAACCACTTTGATGGAAGCATCAACAGCTTTCACATTCTGCTGTCATTACAAGAGCACATGAAAACCCATAATATAAACGACAGGGGAAAAAGAAGATCAGAAGATCACTGTGTAAATGTTATGTGACAGAACTGCACCTGCTCCATTTTTGAGCTACACTCGATGAAGGCAGGGGCACCAATCTGCTTTCTCAATTCTTCTCCCTTACTAAAAAAAGCAAGAGAAGTTTATTGATGCCATTCGTCCGATTTTATAATATACATGACGATATAATAAACGGTTAGAAAAGGTCTAAATTTTTTTATATCCATTTGTTCATTGATTATTTAATTAATACGGTTCAAGTATTGTCGAATTTATTATAAAAACAACTCTCGCAAATTGGTAAAAAGGACAATTCGTGGGAAATCCAGAATTATGAGTGAAACCCGAATATCCATGGATGTCGTGGTGCTGACAAATTGCCAAATGCCAATCACCTGTTCAAGTTTCAGCTTCTTGAAGTATGTTTCTATTTCTTGGATGAACAAAAAATCCTTGAAAAGGAATATATAATATGAGAAATATGTATGTGATTGTTCTTCACATTAAAAAATAAATAAAATTAGCTCCGTCATTTAAGAATCTGTTTGATTGTGTTCTGATTTTTTTTTTTAATTGTTTTGTAGAATAGTCATTGAAACAATTGTTTTCTATACTTTTTTTTGTTTTGAAAATTAAAAATCAAAACACAAAACAAAAAAATCCAGACACATCCTCTAAATTTGATTCTAAAAAAAAAAACAGTCACAGTTTTTAATTTTTTATTATATAGAACAGGCCTTACTAAATGATTTTTTATATATATTTTTTTGTTTTGAAAATCAAAAAATTATTTTTCAAAACAAATTTCAAACAAGCCCTAAATTTTGAACTCATGCAATTTGTTGGATCGATGAAGTAATTAAATGCATTAACTATAAAACTTGTTGATTAAAAAAAATATACTCCATTTAATAATCAACTTTTAATTAATGATAAATGCTAAATCTATTAAATTGTATAAGACTTAAGTTAAAAATATTATAATCAACTTCAATTTATTGATAAATAAAACCATTTCCATTAAATCTTCATATAAGGGTGATGACAATCTTTATGCATAATCTTATTCTTATATATTTACAAAGAGATTATTTCTCAAAAATTATTTATAAATACTAGTTTAAAATTTATCACAAATATAATAATGAATTATGATTAGAGAAATAATAAATATAAGAAATAAATAAATAATTTAACTGGAGAGACACAAACAATATGAAATTTTAGTCCTATGTAACTTTATCGTAATGTCCACGTGTCAAGTCCTAATCTGTTCGTGTTTGATGGGCCTGAAAGTGAGGGAGTTAATTAATTAAAAAATTCTTCTAGAATATTCTATGAGGATAGGATAAAAGGAGTGGGAATGGGTGGAGAGTGAGGCATTCATGTATTGAGTAAATATCGGGAAATTGAGGATGTCTTTTGAGCTTAAGGGAGCGTTTGGTACGCAGATACGTCTGGAACTTGGGATAGCCATGTTTGGTAGCACAAAAATAGGAATTTTCACGGCGAAGAAGTTGTCCCGTCTTTTGGTTTCTATGTGTGATTTCATCCACGACAACCAAAACAAGTTGTCCATTTCAAAGACGTCTTTCATCGTTGCCCGGGGAAGTGAAATCTGAAGCTCGAACAACATTACGAAAAGGCCCTTGAGGGATTGTACGATTTGTGAAGTGATGGAAACAGTGGATTGGACTACTTGCTTGTTGAGTGATATACGTGTGAAAAATGGCGCGAATGAGTTGTGGGTCTGTCATTTCTCCCTCCATTTTCTGAGGTCGCAACTGAGGAGAAGAACCTTGTAGCTTGCATGTGACTTTCGAAATCGGTATTAATCTTGCCTTCTCTGTCATTTGCATGTGCATTTTGCATATTGTGGAAGGTGGGTTTCGTTGCACTGAATTTTTGTAAGAAAAAGTAATGAGGTTTGTGCTGTACAGTGCTAGCTTGCTGAGCATGTATGTCGTAGCTTCTCAGTTTATTGCGCCCTGATCCCTTGTTTCCATTTCTTGGTAGGAGTGGTGGAAGGTGTTGAAGGAAGAAGTTTTTTTGCTTTCTCCACAATCGACTGGCAAGTAAGATAAATAAAGACAGAGGTAAAAAATGTCACTTCTTAGAATGATTTTATGATCTGATAATGAGTTAATTTCTGCATATTCCAGTTGTGGTTGGAAAAAAAAATCAACTTATACTATGGTTTTGTGTTGTTTGATACTCCTCTGTTCATGCGAAGCTTACATGCTTTGGTCATATGTGAATAATTTATACTTTGAAGTTTGGGCACTCATGTTGGCAAAGAATTTGAAATCATTGACATGTTTTCCTTGTAGCCTCTTCGTAATGTCTTGTGTGTCTTATTTCCGTTTTGGATTTTGCTATCAGTCAAGTATCTTTTTCATTAACAAAGACAAACAGGGGTTTTAAGACATAATAAGGATTGGTCATCTTCATCGTGATATATTTGTTATTCTTCTCCTCAACAACATAAATTTAAAGTCAGTAGAGTGAGAAAATCGTGCAGAAATTTATAGAGCGAAAAAAGGCCAAGAATACTTGACCCTGTATTCATCACCTTGTTTTATGTGATGCGTCTAATCTGCCCATGGATTCAATGAGGTGCAGTCCTTTTTTTTGCTTAGTTAGATTTAACATACGAATTTGAACCAGAGTTATTTTAAAACATCTTTTTTTTCCATATGAACATAAGTTGCACTTGGTTGAACAACCTCGACCAGCATGTGAGTTATGTTCCATGCATTCAGCCATATGGAATTTTTTAACATTACATCTAATTTTGGATATACATACTAACTAGGATCCACGATGTTGAACAGAAAAGTAAAAAAAAAAAGGGCTCATTGCTGGTTATGAGTTATGTCCTTTACGTGAAAACAGATGATGTCAGGAAAAAGTTCATGTTTAGGGTGGTCATATGCCTTAGGGTTTAGGGTGTGATATGAAGCAAAATTGAACGACCTTATCATTTGGTGTCAGAACCAATTACGTAAATTTTGCCCTCTAATTCTGGTATTTTTCATTGTCTTGATATTATTTTTATTCGTTCATCACTATTCGATTAATGTTAATTACTTTAACCTTGTTGTGTTAGATTGAGGCAATGAACAAAGCAATGGAGTTGGGTGTCATTATTGTTATCATTTGTCATTTGCAATCTTTGAATCACCTCACTATGTTATTTGGGTCATTTTGAATCATATGTGTTGAATGATTTATATATATAATTATGTGTGATGCAACTATTACGAAGGATTGGTATCTTTATGGAAGTCAGTCACTGATCAATTGCATATGCTGCCACACAAAGATTACGACATAGGCAACATGACAACTATTTTGGAGATACATAATCATTGACAGTACAGATAGCATAGATCCTCATTCTGTTTTTGTATCTCAGACATACAGATAGTTGGAGGGATTTTTTTGCAAGCAAAAAGGAGGACATTGTTGTTAGCACTTTGGCCTTTTGTATATGATACTTCATACTGTAAGGAAAAGGTCATGTATGGTAAGTCCTACATAGTATTTCACATGTTGTGTTATCATTGAAATTTCACTTCTGTTCAAAGAATGCTGTGAGCTCCTACATACTATAGGTATTGACTTTGCCATGGAAGGTAAACTCTGTACTATTATTCAAATAAAGATGTCGATAGTTGTTATGAAAAATGAATTTCTGTATGGGCACCTGTATCAGATCTTGCTTATTATTAATTTTGCTTCTCACCAGAATCACAATTGCTATTTTGCTTATTTTATTTGCATACTAATTGCTGTTTTGCTGCTTCTCACATGTAGATGTCAATACTCGTGGGATGGGCATTGTTTGCGATCCATCTCCATCAAGCTTTGTTGGTTACTAGGACGTAAGATGGAAACAAACAAAGCAATGTCTTCTTCAAGGATAGATCAACCTTCCAACTATCCAATGTATAATATGTGAATCTGTGTTTCAATCTGTCATGTAAAAAATGGGACATGTGTAATATATTTGGTCCAAGATAAGCGTACTTGTACTTAGGATTTTAAGTTTGTCAATTCTGTATGTACCAAGGCTATAGATGCCAATGGGTTATCTGTATGTTGGTGTATCTAAACCTGTACTGTAACATATATATGGTACATGAATGATATTTAAATCCTTTTGCAGTTCATTATGACCTTCTTCATAACCATTTTCATGACATCTCAGTTTTTAACATTATGATTTGGAACAAGCAATGGTGACCCCAAAGGAGATATCAACTGGCACGGGCCTTGAGGAATTACAACTGACATGATTTAATACCTTTTATTCCATTCAACATTCAAAGGAAATGAACAATTACAACGTGAAATCCAAAAAAAAAAAATAGCTATGGGGTAGTAGATCCTCCGTAAAGGTACATGCACAATTGCACTCAGTAAAAAAGACAATACACCAGAAAAGCAACTACATGGTGCCTACAAGGAAAGTCTTATTTTTACTTAAACGTCACAACTCTAACCTATCAAACTACTCTTCTTCATCTTCATGTATCCAACACCACAGAGCATCGAATGGCATAAGATAGCAAACATCGAATGTAATTGCACTCTGTACCGTTTACCGACTGAGCTAGGAAGCTTGTCTCCAACACCGGTCAACTTCTCCACTCAATGGACCCTATAATGCTTGCTTGTTGCAGATCTGTGTTTCCGTCAACCCTAAACCCACAATGTCTTAACATCGCGCAAACGGGAAGAACAGAGCTGTGTGCCGTATGATTTCAAATTTGTCCAAAACTCGATCCGGAAGTACCTCACACCACCGACATGTCAAATCGATTAATTACTATATTTTAATGAAAAAGTTAAAGTAGGGTAATTTTTGTAAAATAACCCTACATTCCTACTATTTTTCACAATTAACCAAACATCAACTCAGTAAACTAACTCAAATTTTCCAAGATAAATTTTGATCAATCAAACATATTTTTATAACTTATCCGCAAAAGAATATTGCAGCCCACATTCCCGCAACGGCAGTTCCCCAGTTAAAAAAATATTTCTCCCGTGGCAAACGCACCCTAAGTGTGTTGGTTCTAAAGGTCTCTTAGTGTCAATTAGTGTTAGTGAAAGAGGCTTTGCCTCCATTTATTCAATAAAATCAATGTTGTTATTTTAAGTTTTTGTCATTTTGGTATCAGAGCATCTTCGATCCGGAGGTGCTTTTTATCCAAATCTGTGAAGAAATGAAAACCGTGGGAGAAATCAGTGATTCAGAGGTGAAGGAAATGTTGATAAAAATATTGAAGGTTATAGATGAGGCATTAGAGAAGATGAAGTCACAGAGATTTAAAATCATGAAGAAGAACAATCTTGAACATAACTTTTGGTCAGAAAAAAGAATCAAAGAATCGAAGAAGAAAGAAAGAAAGAAGAAGAAATCAGCAAAGAAAAAGAAGAAAAGGAAGGAGTTGCACACGAAGAAGAGGTAGAGGCTGAAGAAGAAGAACATCAAGAAGAGGATGGGGAAAAGCAAGAGCCAGGGATCCGTAAATCGCAAAACCTGAATGTCAGCGATTAGGAAGGGCTGAGAATGGTGGAAGTTACATCCCTGGCACAAGGGGTCGAAGACAATGGGAATAGATAGTAAGGAAGACGATAATTAGCTTCGGTCGTTGGGTGAATTTTATATCCAATAATGGGCCAACGACCACAAGCTTGAATAAAAAAAACCCACAATCTAATAAGGGTTTTATTAATGTTATGTGACATAATATAAGGGTAGTTTCCAACTCACACAATGATGAAGAGAGAGAAAGTAGAATGATGAAAGAGAAAGAAAAATATGTGGACCTCACCTCTTTAATGTGTGTGTAGGAAAATGAAGTTATGTAAAATAATAAACATAAAACCCACAGTCTAATAATTTCCAAGGAGGAGAGGAAAATAAGGGAATGGGCTCGGGTTTACGAATGGACTATTGGGCCTTACATTCGGCCAATGAAACAAACCCTACACCGACACAAGCGGCAACTAACAGTAACGAAGGACAAGGATCAATGCAGGCTGCTGACGGAAGAGGAGATGGCTGACTGCTGGCGACAAAGTTCCTATTTCAGGTGTGATAGACCCTTCTTGGCAAACCACATATGTAACAATCCATAACTCTGTGTAATGCTATTGGGAATGGGAGGTGACAGAGAACAAAAGGTTGAGGACTGAGGAGGAGGAGTTCTTACATGCCTAAGTTGCTCAGCAATGAAAGTTGTCAATTGACGGAGCTCATGTCTTTGACCGTTCACTGACAACAAAGATCTACAAGTATAATGGCCGTATGCAAAGATGGCTAATAAGCAGTGCTTGGCACAATATGTTTTGCAAGTACAAGAAGTTAAAGGGGATAAGCCCTAAAGAATGAAAAAATATAATTCTGTGCAATATGATGTTTGGAGGAAAGACATTTGCAACATATACATAATTGCTAAAATAATAGTCAGGCTAGTGAATGATGTTGGTGCTATTGTCAACAATGATCCTGAGGTCAATAGCTACTTCAAGGTTGTTTTTGTCCCAAATTATAATGTGTTTATGGCAGATGAGCTGATTCCAGGGAGTAAGCTATCCCAGCATACTAGCACTGTAGGCATGGAAGCAAGTGGCAATTTTTCTAATGGGACTTGGGGTGAAGTTCTCTCACATTATCTGTCCTCTTCCTTCACCTTGAAGACAAGGTGAGTTTTGGAAGGGGAGTATTAATGTGCCTGAAAACGAGGGAGTTAGTTAGTCAGGGAATTCTTTTAGAATATTTTGTGAGGATAAGATAAAAGGAGGGTGAATAGGTGGAGTGAGATATGCATATATTATTGAGTGAATAATGGGAAATTGAGGATCTCTGGTAGTCTAGATGTGTTGGTTCTAAGGATGACCTTAGTAAGGGTCTTTTAATGTCAATTAGTATTTGTAAAAGAGGCTATGTCTCCTTTCATTCAATGAAATCAGTATTATAATTTTGGGTTTCATCAGTGTCCCACTCATTTCTAGCAACTTGCGGAGATGTCTGAAGGAGAGTATTTTGTGGGATTCATAGCACAATGCACAAACGTATCTGGGAACATTCATGATGAGTTTCTTCTTTTACCAAATCCAAATTAAGTGAAGCTAACATACAGCCAACACTTCTTAAGTCATTTTTTGATGGAAGTTCTTGCTTTTAGGGATGTCTGCAAATCACTTGCCATCGTTGTATATAGAGACTTAGGACTCACCTGACAAGGGTAAGGAGAATATGATTGAATAATTTATCCTATCAAATTCTTATTAGTTGTTTGGTGAGCCCAACAGATAGGATAAAGTTATCAGGTAGGCTCATTTTATTGGTGAGCCCAAACCTAATAACTTATCCCAAGGGCGGGCTTGAGTTAGAAATCAATAGCATAGGATAGCAAAATTAATTTTTTTCCCCAACTCATCCCTAGAAAATAAAGCATCGTCCTCTATGTTCTGTATGCCTAAACCCCTTCCCATCCATAGTTCCTTTGGGATAAAACATCCCTAGAATAACTAGAAACAACTGCAATAAAACATCACCAAGAACCAAGAAAGGAAACAATTGCATCCTCTAGCAACATAGTTATCCAACAACCAATATGCATTGGTCGAATGCAAGTGCCAGACACAAATGATACACCATTCTAAAAAAAACAAAATTGCATCGTCTCTATGAGTGAGCATTTGCGTATTTGAGATAATCGCCTCTGGAATTTAAAAATAAAATACAAATCACTTTTTGGGTCGAAAATAGAAAGAATTGAAGGGAAATTACATAATCGTTTACAAACAAAATAAATTACCACAAGAAAATTCTCAATTGAACTTGAAAATGTCATAGATGCGCACTATAAACAATAAGAAGAAGAAAATGCCAAAAATTAATTGATAGAAAAAGTAGAGCTCAGAATGAACTCACGATAGTCGCGGATGATTGCATCAATCTCAAAGGGTTTCCAATAAAGAAAATTTGATTTTTTTATATTGAGTATTTTAGTACATTTATATCACATCTTCGATATCTTGTTCATCTCAAATACATGATAGGATAACATGATCCTATCAGATTACTAATCTAGAGTACATCAAACACAAGATATGATATGAGTTTATTGGGCCTATATCATTTGTTATCCTTATCCAACTCTCTTAAGTCTTATCCTATATATTCTTATCTTATCATATACATCAAACGGGCCCTTAATCATGTAAATAAAATAAAATAAAATATTATTGATAGTCTTGTGATGAACTACAACCTTCTTTCAAAATTAACATTAGGGATTCAAAATAATTTAAACCAATTTATGAAATTCGGACAACTCATCAGGGTCGTTGATTGAATAAATGAATCATCGCTCAAACCACTTAAAACTGAATTTATATAACAATATGCAACAAATGATTTAATCGAAGCACAATAATCAACGCCTAATGGAAAATGCGAGAATGGATCATCTCATATTAAAATTTCACATAAGAGGGTCATGTGAAATTTTTGTATCAATTTTTTTTTTATTAATGTTGATTGGACACGACCTATTTAATACATGTAAGGAGAAAGATTGTTTTGACTTCGGCAGGTGCACCAGTCGTATAATTACAAGTAATATAGTGTAAAAGAGTGGAGTTATCGTTCCCACGAGAATTGATGTATCAAGCAATAACGTATCTACGATCAAAGTTGGATCGATCTTTAAGATTTCTTGAGAATATGATTTTAAATTGTAAAAATAGAATTTTGAAAAGAATATTTTTAATTTTCAAGATTAAAAACCAAGAACAATAAACAAGAACACAATCAAGAACAATTAAAATTGACTAAAGACGTAGCTAGGGATTTGATTTCCCCAATGTTTTCCTAACAATTCTACCCTTTCATGCAATTAATATTCAAGATCAAGTTATTAACGATTCTTTCTTGATTAACTAAACCCCAATCCTTTGGTAATTTAATCTTTTACTTTATTTAAAACTCTAATCCCCTTATAGGTTTTCCTTAGAGCAAGAATCATAAAGTCATAGAATTTGTAAGCCTAAGCCTAAATCATACAAACCCTAGAAATTAATCAATCGGAATCAAGAACGCAATATTCCTATTATCATGTAAGATTCTAATGCCTATTC